TAAAGACTAATATCTTTCATTTTAGAGCAAATTTGATTAGTTTTTGGAAAATTGAAAAAGTCGTCAATTTTGACGAAATTGGTACGGCTTACCCCCTACCATTTTGTTCAATTTTGACGACTTTTTCACCGGTTCAAAAAACTGTCTTGAAATGCTAAAAATAGCTTTCTAAGACTAATATCTTTCATTTTAGAGCATATTTGGTTAGTTTTTGGAATATTGAAAAAGTCGTCACTTTTGACCAAAATGGTAAAAATTAGGGCTTACCCCTTACCATTTTGTTCAATTTTGACCACTTTTTCAATAATTCAGAAACTGTTTTAAAATGCTAAAAATAGCTTCCTAAGACTAATATCTTTCATTTTAGAAAATATTTGATTGTTTTTTTGGAACATTGAAAAAGTCGTCAATTTTGATTAAAATGGTAAGGCTTACACTTATCATTTTGCTCAATTTTGACAAAAATTGACCAAATTTGCAAAGGCTTACCCTTTACCATTTTGTTCAATTTTGACCACTTTTTCAATTGTTTGAAAACTGTCTTAAAATGCTAAAAATGGCTTCCTAAGACTAATATCTTTCATTTTAGAGCATATTTAATTAGTTTTCGGAACATTGAAAAAGTGGTCAATTTTGACGAAATTGGTACGGCTTACCCCTTACCATTTTGTTCAATTTTGACCACTTATTCAACGGTTCAAAAACTGTCTTAAATTGCTAAAAATGGCTTCCTAAGACTAATATCTTTCATTTTAGAGCATATTTGGCTAGTTTTTGGAACATTGAAAAAGTCGTCAATTTTGACCAAAATGGTAAAAATTAAGGCTTACTCCTTACCATTTTGTTCAATTTTGACCCCGTTTTCAACTGTTCAGAAACTGTCTTAAATCGCTAAAAATATTTTCCTAAGACTAATATCTTTCATTTTAGAGAAAATTTGGTTAGTTTTCCGAACATTGAAAAGTCGTCAAAATTGACGAAAATTTTTCAGAGAAAAATCGGGCACAATAGGCTGGACAATTGTCCGGAAAAATAAATGAGCACTAAAAAAATTCGACTGACAAATTGGCCTCAAAAATAATATTGGGCATAAGAAAAAAAGTTGCGCACAAAAAGCAAAATGAGAGGGAAAAAATGGGCACGAGAAAATGGAGAAAATTTAGCATCAGAAAAAAAATTGACAAAAAAAAATAGGGCAAGAAAAAAATTTGGCAGGCAAAAAATTGAAATGAAAAAAAAATTAGGCACAAGAAACAAAATTGACAGGGAAAACATTGGGCTGATGGAAGAAAACAGAAAAAAAATTGAAAAAAGAAAGAAAATTGATAGAAAATAATATCAGGCTTATATAAGAAAAAAACGTTAGGCCGGAAAAAAATGGGAACAAGAAAAAAAATGACATGGGAAAAATTTTGCATAGGAAAAAAAAATTGACAAAAAAATTGGGCATCAGAGAAAAAAGTGGCAGTAAAAAAATTGACAGAAAAAAACGGGCACGAGAAAAAAGTTTGAAAGGGGAAAAAATTAGGCACGAAGAGAAAAAATTGAAAAGAAAAAACTACGCTCAAGAAAAAAAAATGGGAAAAAAGAAATTGGGTGAAAGAAACAAAATTGATGTGAAAAAATATTGGGCCTATATAAGAAAAATATTTTCACAGCAAATAAAATGGGCATTAAAAAAATTGACAGGAAAAAATATTGGGTTTATTTAAGAAAATAATTTTTGACAAGAAAAAAAATTGGGCAGAAGAAAAAAAATTGACAGGGGAAAAATTTGGCATCAGAAAAGAAATTTGGCAGGAAAAAAAATCAGATGCAAGAAAAAAGGAGGAAAATAGAGGAAAAGAAGGAGAAAAATTCGGCGCAAAAAGAATCTAAAAGGTAAAATCATTTGTCGTATTCTCTAATAGACGTTCATATTTATATTGTATTCTATTATTCCTCTATTGCACTGTTATTTGCTACTCGATCAGATTCCAAGAGTGTCTCCTATTACATTCATTCTACAAATGTATATTAATCACTAATAGAAATGTCAATCATGGCAACATGATATCAAATTAAATCACTACATAATTGGTGTAAGAAAAAAAATTTTGATTGGAAAAAATTGGGCACAAGAAAAAACAAGTGAGAGGGGGAAAAACTGGATACAGAAAAAAAATTGGGCATAAGAACAAAAAAACTGGGCATAAGGAAAAAAGTTTGATAGGGAAAAAATAGTATAGCAGTCAGACGGCAATCTAAAATAGCTGTATAAAAAACAAAAAAACCGTTGATGATAATCTGATATGAAGGGAAAAATTAGAGCACACGAAAAAAATCGACAGACCGAAAAAAAATTGGGCATAGGAATAAAAAGTTTTGACAGGGAAAAAATTGGCCATAAGGAAAAAGATTACGGGAAAAAAATTAGTATAAGAAAAAAATTTGACAGAGAAAAAATTGGGCAAAGGAAAAAAAGTTTTGATAGGGAAAAGAAATTGGGCACAAAAAAAAGACTGGAAAAAAAATGGGCTTAAAAAAATTGGCAGGAAAAAAATTGGGCACAAGAAAAATAGTGTAACAGTCAATTTAAAATAACTATATAAAAAACCTCAAACCCGTTGATGATTATAATCTGATATAAAACTTTGTTTTCATGTTAATTAATACCCGTTCGGGAGAAAATGAATTTAAAAATTCATTATGAATCACTGCGTGTGATGCAATATTATTGATCACAATTGGAGATTTTAAAATGACTTTTCTTTAAAATTCAATATTTTGGCCTAACGCTCACTCGTATTAACTGATAATTATTAAGACCTATTGACTGACCTGAAAGAAACGTGATGTTTCCCGATGAGATCAGTCAATAAGTGTTTAATTTATCATATAGCAGGGGAAAGCACCGGAAAGAACCGGTGAAAATACGCGACACAAACGTAGGCAGAGAAACTTCTAATCTTAAAAATAATTTGGCTAAGATTCAAAGGTCATATGTCGCGTGATGTGACGTACATCACGACTTCCAGTTTTATTAACTTCTGGTGGTTAAAAGTATTAACCCGCTATAAATTGGTTCAAACCTTACAAACAAGATTTTGGGGTAAACATTCGGATTTCCTTTGCCTTAATTTAACGTGACGTAGTTTTAACCAATGACATTCTGGAACAAATGAACTTCCAAACGTGCTGTATAATAATCTTATTTATCACATACTTGTGCCTTTATCACTGAGATAACAGGGTGACATAAAAGCGATATGTCCCTGATATCGCTTTGCAGTCAATTTTCACGATTATCCCTTTTTCGGAGGGCGAAAAAGCCGGATACGTGTGGACGTGTAATAGTAAAAGTATTCTTGCGTTTTCAAATTCTTCCGGCAACGTGTGGAAGGGGCCTTAAATGACAGAATTACTTTCAAAATTAGCAAAAGTGCCGAGCAATGCAGCGTTTTTTTATCCCCGAGCCGGTGCGGAGCACCGTGCGAGGGTACTAAATCCGCTCGGATATTTACACCAACGAAATGCGAATGCGAAATCAAAGTCGTCCGCCATTATGCAATGGACCTCACGCCATGGACGGTTTTCTACGTTATGCGCATGCGCCAGTGTGAACTACTAAGCTCTTGATTGGTCGAGACAAAAATTTGTATTTTCAAACGTCAATGAATAACTGTCATTTAGCAAAATTTTGATGAAATTTATAAATTTATACTTATATAAATATGGAATATATGTATTTTTACTATATTAGAGGGAAACTCGAATGAGGTCAGGACTTTTCACGGTTTAACAAATAACAAGACCAAATTTTCGACCGAATTCACCGTGTATAATGAAGTCGGAAGATTTTACACTTGATAATATTTCATCCGGCACAGCTTTAAAAAGTAATTCTTTTGTGGCAAACACAACTTTAATATTCTCAAATGTATTTTACTATAAATATGAATGTGTTATGTGATAAACGACATTATGATTTTATTTATAAACTCCGTTTTCCTAATGACAAAAAGAAAACAAAATGAAAACATTCCCGTAGAAAAACCAGTCAAAGCGCTGAATGAGACGTCTGATGTTATATTTCATGGTATTTAATAATTAAAACAATTTACCATAACACTGACTATACATGAGTAGCTTAACTTCCAGAAAAAAGGTAAGAATCTTGTCGTATTTTTGCCATTTTTTCCCAAAAATATGAGGGTAAACTTTGATTCTTTAAAAATATGCGGCCGTTGCGAGTTGCTATAAATACAGTGTTTCCGCGTGCAGAAAAATATTTCCATACTTTTCTCAATTTCTATTTCTCAAATACCCTGTACCCTCCAAAACCCCCAAACCACATAAAATTTCTAACAATCATTAACTGATTTTGTTTAATCGAGGCGAGGGGTCGCTGCATGCATGTATTTCTAGTATTATGTAGAATACTGTTTGTGAGTTTTCCTATATTATAACGATGGTGCTTATAGGGTATATAAATAGCTAAACTAAAATTCTGGTCTTTAATTCTGCCTGCTCATTCTTTAATTTTAACTTTTGTGTTATATGTACCATAAAATTTAATATATATTGAGGTGGTTCCCTACAGTTTATTGAAATTGTTAAATACACACAGGGATATTAAGCCATTTAAAATGTTCGACGTTTTTTTCATTTTTTTAATTTTGTTATTTGTGTAGCTATATCGATCAAGTTCTCAAATGTTGAAGATCTGAAATCTTTGGTTTCCGACTGTTTCAAGCGAGATGTTAGCTTATAGATTTAAGTTAAAACGTTTCTTAAATTTGGGGGTAATATGGTTCTGAGTCATCATACAATATTTTTCTTTCACATACGCGTATAGATGTAAATTTAGTTGACTTTCTAGGTATAGACTTTAGTCCTTAGCTTAGCTGTAGTTATACGGTTGTCTAATACAGCAGCTGAGTGTGTATTGAGTAAAACATGGAAATATATCCGGTGACGGGGAGAGGAAATCAGAATAACACAAACGAATTGTTCCCTGTCATTAACAATTTATTTTAAACAGCTCGTTACAATCAACCAGCGCAAAGCTCATTTCGTTCTCGAAGCCTTACGATCTTTTACGGCAGTAGGGACAGTTATCTTCATGCTCACAGCGTCCAAGTTTACATTCACAACGTCTGGCACATTGACACGCAGTTGGTCTCCAAGGAGGAAACTACATGAAGAGAAAACACAAAAATAACAAATAATATTGCAGCCACGTAAATTATTCAAGCGGACACATTCTGACACGTACAAATACAGGGGAGGTAGGGTTGGGCACTACTGTCCCGTTAAACACTTGTCACCGTTTAAATGTTGTGAGTTGGATACCATTTAATTTAATGGAATATTGGAGTATTTCCCATGACCCTATATTCACAGTATGTATCAAAGCCAATACTACAAACATTTCCTCTCACTGCATGCACGCTGTGTAAAGCTGTTGAAATGTTTTGTGCAATGAGAAAAGTACGATATTGGTGAGAAGTTTTGCTAAATGATTTAATGCTTATTCGTGTTCTTGAACTAAAGCATCATTTCGTCGTTTAAAACGTGTATCTAGTCGACTCTTTACTAAAGCTTTACACGTGCAATTCAGAATTTACTTACACATCCCGGCAGTGTTGGAGGACACGCCCCCGGTTCCTTGTAGTTAGCTTGATCGATATTTGCTCCAAAGCCTTTTGCAGTCATACAATCTTCAAAGCATTGTTTTTCATCCTTATAAAGAGTGTCACAGTAAGGGAAAGATCCCCAAGCATTGAAAAATATCGGATAGCCAGGTAGTATTGGATTGCTTCTCCCTATAATTTAAGGAAGCACTTTTTATCCTGCGGGACATGACTGATGTTACTTGGGTCGTATCCAGAGCGCGCAGACAGAATACTTCAGTGTTTTATAAGTTTGCTATCAAGACAGAAAAAAAAAGCTAATTTACATACGCACTGGAGAAAAAAATTTAGACCTCATCTATAAGAGAATCATAATATATGCACACCTCTATAAGCTCTTTTTTTCATTTTCCCCAGCTCACCCCCCTTCTTCTATAATTTTAAAAATTGTGAAAAGCTTTACTTACATGGTATGATTGCAGAAGCACCAGCAAAAACAAGGAGTAAGATTAATTTTGTCATTTTCCTGACGAGATAAAATAAATTTATGCTTTATATATAGTATATAAAATGACAGGGAAAAAAGATGCAAATAGATAGAAGATACAGAAGATACTAATCGCAAAGGTTTTAAAACGGAATGCATGTGCATGTCTTAGTTTTTTTTTTTATTTGCATCAAGAATAAAACGATTCTTTTTTTACACAAATATAGATGGTATTTTAGGTGTCTTCTGGAGAGTTATGATGTATATTAGAGTTGATCTTCAACTTAAATATTCAGCGAAACCAGTACTCAGATGTGGTTTTACATATATTCATGAGCAATATGCATGCATACACCAATCGAAAAACCTTGGAGTTTGATTTTATATAAGCTCATTTATTTCAATTGATTGCATGTTCAAATCTGGTTTTGATCTGGTATTGTTACAAGACAGGTACGTTGCATGCTGCTCGTTCTGATCGATAAACTGCATGTTATTCAGATACAGAAGATACTAATCGCAAAGATACAGAAGATACTAATCGCAAAGGTTTTAAAACGGAATGCATGTGCATGTCTTAGTGTTTTTTTTATTTGCATCAAGAATAAAACGATTCCTTTTTTACACAAATATAGATGGTATTTTAGGTGTCTCCTGGAGAGTTATGATGTATATTAGAGTTGATCTTCAACTTAAATATTTAGCGAAACCAGTACTCAGATGTGGTTTTACATATATTCATGAGCAATATGCATGCATACACCAATCGAAAAACCTTGGAGTTTGATTTTATATAAGCTCATTCATTTCAAGTGATTGCATGTTCAAATCTGGTTTTGATCTGGTATTGTTACAAGACAGGTATGTTGCATGCTGCTCGTTCTGATCGATAAACTGCATGTTATTCAGCATGACTAAAAAAATTGCCCGGCACTAAAGCTAAGTATATTAAAAATATTACCTTAATTGGACTTGCTTTAAACAAAATATTCTTCTCAATACACCACGTTAGACGGAATAGTCTGTCAGAGATTAATATGGAAATCTAGTTCATGAACCGATCATTTTATAGCCTTTTCCCACAAATAAATCTACAAAGCTGTAACCTGTGTAAATATCATACAAATTTGCATGCAATATTTTTAATTTTAGTGTGCAAACAATTTTTTTTAGTAAAATGGTTTTAGTGACATTGCATATATGTCCGAGAAATTCAAGGGTTTTAAAATGAAAAAAGATTTCAATAATATACACGCATAATATTTTGTATTTAATATATTTTTTAATGTAGTCTTTCATTTTTAATATTATATTGCCGATAAAAAAGACGAAGAGGATTAGAGGAGTGTGTTCTTAATTTCTTTCAATTACTGAAGCCACTAATATCGCAGTTATGCACAATTATGTGCTAGCTACTTAATTTTGTATCTTGTATATATGTAATTAGTTTTGTTGATCGACATTCAATAGAAACTGCTTAAAATAAATAAAGGTGATCATACGCATCTTTAAGTCTGCATCTATCAAAATTTGATGTTGTTCTATACTGTTGCTATATAAATTGAAATAGTGATGTGCTTCTAAAATAATCTCTTAAGGTGGTAATCTTCACGGTCAAAAGAAATTGATCCTATGGACAGTCTTTACAGCAAAGCATAAATCATGAACGCTTTATGAATGAATTCCTTTCTTGCACTATCCCCTTGACCTTGCCCCACAGATTTTCAATAGGGTTAAGGTCTTTTGACTGTGCAGGCCAATCCATTTCTGTCACTCCCTCTTCCTGAAACAATTGTTTGACAATATTTTGGAAGTGTGGCAGACTGCATTGCATTATTGAAATATTGTTTGGAACAAGAGAATTATACAAAATGCCTATGAAGCTCTCTCCTATATTCACTTCTTTTTTATGAATTTTTATCTAAACAGTTCTTTTTGACCGCTAGTGTACAATAAAAGATAGATTGTCACGATTCCTGTTACATACGATAATAGCAACATTTGAGCAGTTCTTTTTGACCGCCAGTGTATATTAATATATGCATGTAACGTATAAGAATATGGTATGTAAAAGAGGCATAAATCTGACATTGTTATAATCATTTGCATGGGTAAATAATAGAAATTAAGCTCATTCACGGATCATTCTATTTATAGCCATTAATTCCACAAATGAATTTATGAAGCTGTGTAAATATCATACAAGTTTACCTGCAAATTTTTGAATTTTTTAGTGTAAACACACACGATCCATATGGCTTTAGTAAAAATGGGATTACTGACATTGCATGTCCAGAATTCAATAATGAAAATGCTGTATATATATATATCTCTAGTTGACAAGCAACCTTTTTCTATATCTACACTTGTATTTGGCACAACACAATATATATATATATATATATATATATATATATATATATATATATATACATATATATATATATATATATATATATATATAAACTATAATTTGTAAAAATCTACGCAATCATATATGAATAATAATTGGTATATATATACTATAATTTGTAAAAATCTACGCAATCATATATGAATAATAATTGGTATTTAATATTTTATTCAATGTAGGTCTTCCTTTCAAATATTGTATTCCCGACAGAAAACACGAGGAAGAGTGTGTTCTTAATTCTTTTCAATTACAGAAGCTACTAATATGCACAATTATTATGCACAATTATGTGCTAGCTACTTAATTTTATATATTGTATGTATGCATTTAATAGTTTTGTTGACCGCCATGAATAGAAACCGCTAAAAAATATATAGAATTAGCGAGATGTTGTTCTGTAATCTATAGTGTTGCTAGCTATATAGCTATACATTGAAATAATTATAGTGATGCGCTTCTAAAATAACCTATATAATAATTTATGAAGCTAATGTATAAAAATGTAGTATGTAAAAGAGATATAAATTTAACATATATTGCTATAAATTTAACGTGCAGCTTCCAATCAAATTTTTGAGACTATTAAAGATATTAATCCATGGAATGCAATATTTTTTATCCCAAAAAAATGGATAAAACGCTACGAAAACAAAACTTTGACAAGTGGTATATAATAACAACATTTATATCATGCACAATCGCGTATATATATAGCCTAAATATATTTTTACTGAACAATATAAACTTGTTAATTGTTAGCCTAAACTATAACAATTATTACTCATTTTCGCAACAAAATATGAGTTAGATTTCACACTCAACGTTTCTAATCTCGACTATTAATTATTCTAATGTCGAAAAGTGATGAGAACTAAAAATGATAATACACGCGTGAATATTATTGATATTCCGAGATATTCTGGGATATTCCCCCATTAGTCACAGTATACCTCACTTTATTGGTACTAAAGTTTTAATATATCCCGTTTTATTACCGTGTTGTGTAACTAACAACCATTTGCAATAGAATAAAACTGAGAATCATTTTAGCAACATTTGATTTGCGTTAATAAAGTGTGCAAGATTCCACTGATATATGATTATATAATTGCATGTATTTAACAATTATTGAATGAGGTTAAACACGATATGAAGAATTATCAAGCCGAAGTTTGTGTTTATGTGAAAACAGAATTCAATAATTGTTTTATTATTTATTCAAAAGATTGAACATTGCAAATTTGAATTGTTCGCTTGAATTTGTGACGATTTCACATTCCCGCTCCTTTGGGACGTTGATGCCTTCGCTATTGGTGTGACGTCATAACAAGGGATACGACTATTTATCACAGGAAAAAAGTCGTATCACACGTTATGACGTCACACGTTGGACATGACGATTTCACACATGACTATTAGCCAATCAGAGGCTGTGAATTCTTTTAAATAAATAATATCATTTATAGACCGTTGAGGCGTAAATATGGTGTTTCTTGAATCACTTTGTTTGGTCCGATGAAGATTATATACCTGTGCTTTTCAAGAGTTCTGTTCTATTTATGTAAGCTTTTGGGCAAAGAGTTTGGTCAGGTAGGACAGGCTTGATTTTGGTTTTGTGATCTTGTTTAATTTGGTCTGCTTCTCGTTTCGACCTGAGGGCTTTCGCCAGGTCTCCTGACCAACTCTCTAGATCTTGACGAAGGTCCTCTGGTCGAAAAGTCGAGAGGTGTTTTGTATATTTTAGGCAGTTGTTATACCGCATTTAATGCTAAGTTACAAATCACATAACATAACTCATATAACTTGAACAACCGGGTAAAAAATGCATGGGTGCGTTTTTTTTATCTTGACCAAAGTAATTTTAATGAGTGACAAGGCAGACTTGTCAGTTTTTATATATAGAGGAAGCGCCCAAGCCTTGCTTGTGTTTTCTGTTAATAACTTAATGGAATAGAAAGGATACGATCAATGGGGAATCTGTTGCATTTTTAAATGTTGCATTTCTAAAGGCCAGTTTATACACTTGCGAGTTTATGTGCGATTTTCTTCTTTTGGTAGATGTGAACAAGTAATAAGTTACCATGTTCTGATGTATTCTTGCTCTTCTTTGAACACCAGTAACTCATTAACTCGTTCACATCTATCAAAAGAAGAAAATCGCATATGAAATCGCAGCCAAAATCGCAAGTGTAAATATTTCTTAGAGCATGTAAGACATGCAACTTTTGAAGTTACCCAAATCTGTTACAAATGATTTTAAAAATTATTACAGGTAAGACGTAGCGAGGTAAACGATAAAATAATCCCCAGATCTAGAGCTAAAAACACGAGAAAATCTTCTCGCTGTGAATCGGTAAGGATGTTCGATGTTCACACGAGAATCATCAAAATGAATGTGAATGAAACATGTGAGAAGAAAATTACCAGTATAGATACACACACTCTAACACAACTGAAATCTATATCACACATACCTACGAAAACTGTGAACGGATAGAATTTGATGACGATCGCACAGTCATAAGGCTATTGCTGTCACTGATGCACCTTTCTCCCTAAGCTATAGCTGTCAAGTTAACAATGGCCTTAGCTTGGTGTATAAACGGTTAATTGTTACTTTACTAACTATAGTGCAAGTTATATTTATTTGTATACCGAACCATGCGTGGGATAATAATATCCTGTAGACAATTGAATTAATGCCGACCACGTGACTGCTACGAACATCTGCTCGACTTGACAGTCGAAAATGGAACCATCTTCTGGCACATGAGTGTTCACGAAATAAAGCTAAAATTCGGATGTTGTTAAATACACGGAGTCCTCAGATTTGAAAGTTGAGCTGCGTTGAAATGCGTGGAATAATGGAGACTTCAATTTTGCTTCACGATTATAAAAAAATTAAAGCAGCTTTATAATTTGCCAGAAAAAAGTGGCACATCTTTCTGGCGCAAGAGGGTTCAATAACTCGCTATCTCTCGCGGAATTATTCCGGAATAATCTTTAATTATTTCGCCATGAAAAGATTATATATATAGTTTATATTATGCAATAGTTATATAGTTTATATTATAGTTTATATTATGCAAAAGGAATATTTTTATTACGCGCAGGCGGCCGCCGCTTCAATAATGTTTACGTTTGATTATTGGAGTTATATTCCGAATTACTATGGTTATTGTAAAACGAGCGCAGAATTTTAAGTAAGGTGGGGTCTTGTTAGGCCTGCATAATTTCTCCTCGCCGTGGTGTACGATACCCAGAGCAGCCTTCACTTGTGGAGATCAAAATCAGACCATTCTCCCATTCTTCACCGCGTTGAGGTAGAAAACGCATTGTTTTCTCAAGATCCTCAACATCAGTAACCATGATGAGCCAAGAATTCCAATTCTTGACTTTGGATTGAACTTGACTCTTCAATTCCAGGATCTTTTCCTCGTTGGTCAAGCCAGATGTCATAATCTTTGATATAACATCATCATCACAGTTGACCTGATTAGAGAAATCTTTGTATGATTTCAAGAGAGATTCCTCATCTTTTCCGCTCAATGTCATGACGAAATGCTTCTGAATGCTTTTTTTCTGTTCGCTTTTGAACCACTCATTTCCAAATG